AATCAGTGTACACTTTAATATGTCTCAATGTAGACGAATAAAGTGTCTATATGAAACATAAAATTTTCGCATCAACAACTAGCATTTGCTCGCAATGCTATTTTAATATTATTAATTCGATGGTTTTATTTTCTTACTAGTATTTTTTTACTTTACAGAAATAAACATAGAAAAGTACCATATTGCGTGTATCGGTGTCATTTATCATAGGCTACGAATTATATTCTCGTGGCCGATAGCGTTCGTTTATGGTTCGTCTGCGCTTGAAATATGTCCAGATGCCTCATTTCGATCGTTGGACATTTTTTGTACGCCCACGAGTGAGCGATGAATTAGAAGATTTACGTTTTTCTATGATCGTCCGTGTTCCCTTCGTCCGGGCGACAGCGGACGACATCGCATTCCACACTTTGCACGAGGCATCGTAATTAGGAAGACATTACTCAAAGACAGCTTCTCTTTCCCCGTGAGAAGGATCACTTCTCTCTCGTAGCTCGCTCACAGGGGCCTTCGGCTGCTTTTTGCTTCGGGGACGTACGATTATTCACTTCTATGAAGGCCGCGATTCGAGAAATTATCGGTAAATTATTGTACATTCAAGCACATGGCTCTCTGTCACGTTCGTGCCGACCATGATAAAGAAGGTGAAGTACCCTTTGGCCATAATGGCCGGTTCTCGTATTTTTTCTTGCATACGAGTTTTCGCTTATTTTTACAGTTAAGCGATATCGTCGTTATTAATTTATTGCTTTTGCTCTTGGTTTTAAATGGAAAAATCGTTTCTCTAAAAATATTTTTTGGATGAAAGCAAAGAATATGTCGTTCTAGATACCATATGAATCTCTGTGTGTGTATCATAATATTGTAAAGTCTGCAAACATCTCAGTTCTCAAATTAAAAAGCAATGCGGGTGAAATTAAGAAATAAAATCTGCATAAATCTTAGTATCCATGAAACACTTATTTTTCGACAATGATTGCAGAAAGATTTTGTAAGCGTACTCGAAAATAGATGATTCAATTAACGCTTGACGCGCCATCAAGTAGGTTTTTTAACCATCAAGGACCGAGAAACGTCAGCAATTTACCGAGCTCAAACGTGGTTTTCGCCGCATTCTTTATACACCGCGCATTAATACTGCCGGTGATTAGCCGGGACTTGGAGCCCACCTCATCTCATTTATCCCCCTTTTTTTCTCCTCGCGGCCGTTTGATACTACAAGTCATTAAACCCTGTAGATCAGCCGCTCCTCCTCTTCTCTTTTCTTTCTCTCGGCACCCCGTCATCCGTCTCTTCTTCTGACGATTGCCCTGGGCACTCGAAGATTCTGAAGGTTGATAAAGCGATAGGGTTCTTTGCTTCGGATAGCCGGTAAGAAATCCTCGAGGATTAGTTTATTAATGGCCATCGGGCATAATTATCGGCTGCTCGGCGTCAAGGCAGATCTTTCGATGATCGTTCCACCCAGTGGCTGTACTGTTTTCGCGATTCGTTTGCCTTTTTTTCCAGACCGGGAAACGCTCACTTATCGTCCACTCTCCGACGCTCGCGGCCCCACTTGTGCTTGATGTGATAACTTAAACGGCACTTGAACATTTATGACTCGTAGTGAGGCTGTAAAAAATCTCTTAATGCTCTTTATACGTCTGTTTTGCGTTAATTTGAAACAATGGTATTGAAACCGGTATGATAAATCGGAGAAATCGTGCCCTTTAGTTTGTTCCTATTATTCTTTAATTATTTCAATTTCCGAGCGTCTTCTTTCTTTGACGAAGAGAAAATTTATTTAATTGGCAAATTTATTAAGTGTGAAACAGGCTTTAATATAATTATAGCTATTTTTATCTTGCCTGAAGTCACTATCTTTTTTCTCGCGTGTTCTGCGGACAGTTTTGATTAGATGACAAAATCTTAGAATATTTTGCGTTTTTATCTATTGATTCACATCGTAAGCAAATAATTAAATTGAAATTTATGTTATTTATTGTGTATAATGTATTATGTTAATTTACATTATATATATATATATTAGTACATATCAGTTGTGTGTGCAAACATGGTAACACCTAAAATCTTTTTTTGCAGTTTTTTTGTTCGTAAATGAAAGGTAACTTTGATAATTTCTCCTATCATTGAAGCTACCGATAGTCACATTAAATGCAATGCATTAAAAAAACAAGATTAAAATTGTATTAAAGTGACTGAAGCTGCAATTTATTGTGCAAAATGCGCAAATCACGAGAGAGCGCAATGATTCGGCGTGGTTGACGCGCGACGACAGCGTGCAGGGTATAATGAGATTTTGCCGGAAGTCGCGTCGAAGGAGGAGCGAGAGGGCTCGAGAGGGCCTGTCGGTCGGCGTTGTTCGTCCACACAGAAGCGCAGTTTTCTCAGAGGGGTGCCTCCGCGCGGCCCCCACGAACGAATCTAATTAAACGCTAAATTGTTATTTTAAGTTTAATAACAACCATAATGATCTCGCGCCCGAACCGAGACTCTGTTATTATCTAGATTGCATATTTTCTGGTAGATTAAGTTCCTTAAGCGAGAGAGCTGCACTCCCGGCGAGAGTTGTAAGAAACCTCTTTGGATAAGCTAATGCAGCCCAGCGCGAGGAATTGTAGTACTTGGTGTAGCGCCAGGTACTACGTCACTTGCAAACTACGCTTCGCAGCGTATGTAATATTTCTGCGCGTTGTTATCTTGGAAAATGTGGAAAGTATTCAGGTTGTGAAAAGACCAAAATAAACTCTTCAGAGGTAAACATAAACATACATAATTTTTCAGGAGAAGAATCTAAAAAGATTTTTCGCTTTTGATATGCTCTCAGCAAAATACTTATAATATTTTGCAGATTTTCTTGTATTCGTAGATACAATATCAAACTTCGATATATTTCAGAAAATAAAGTTGTGTGATTATGGAATATGATTTTAATCTAACTTAATACTATTTTTATCTGGTGAATGTAATTTAACTTTCAACTACAGTCAACATTTCTATTAAAATGAAAATATTCATTGAAAACATTTGCCATAGAATAAAAATTGAAGTATAGAGTCTACTGATAATAATAACTCCATTTTCGAAAAAAATGTGACTTAACACAGTATACCTTTGAAGTGCTCAAATATAACCAAAGACTAAAAAATTTTGCACTTTTTGTTAGTTAAGCGGCGAGAAATAATATAGAAATTTCTTAAAATAGAAAATTTTATTTACCTCGTGAAATTTGTGAAATATTTGAAATTATTTTAATAATAATATTAATTTGAAATTGTTGTATCGAAAGAAAAGAAAATTTTAACTATAGTATATATTAATACGGGAAAAAAGGGAAATAAGGGAAATAATACTTGCAATCTCGGTTTAGTATAAGTAAATCTCATTATTGCTTTTAAAGGTCTGTGTATGTGACTTGTTTAACACTAACTTTTTCAATGACTAGCCTTGCGAGTGTAGTACGTGGCATTCGGAGAGCGATTCGTCATCTCTCCTTCCACGTCACCCGATCGCGAACACGGCGCAACAATGCGTTTCTTGCAATCGCGACACTCATATGTTGTACGTTTCTTTTTATCGCATCATTTCCCTTGGATTTCTTCTATCCTCTTTATTACTCAGCGGCGACGCAATTACGTCGTCAAGTCGAAAAAAACTGTTGGCGAGTACGGCATGTGACGGAGGCAAGAGTGAACGCCTTTTTATAAACTTGTGCATTCACCGATGAGAGAAGCTCGTGTATGTATGATTGCTTGTGTCATTTCAAATGTAACGATGGGTGATTATAAAAGTATTTAAATGTTTTATGTATGTTCATCGAATGAGCGCTCAATAAAGCGTGTTCTACGTATATTAATATATGATATGACTAATTAAATTAATTTTTTTACTACAATATAAAATTCTACAATCTGGCCACGGGTAATTTTTTTTATATCAGAAATGTTTGATGTGGTTGTTATTCGTATAGAGACTTTAATTCTAAAGTCATAAAATGATATGATATTTTAACGGTGCAACATTGTATAATAAGTAAGACGAATATATGTATATGATACGGAAGAGCTTTTCTAATGAAGCGCTCATTTGACGAGACACACCGAGCGGGCAACTGCACCCGTAGCAATTATTTCATTGCAATTAGAGTGGGCTATGTATCTCCGGGAAAAGAGGGGTTGCGCGGGCAAGATGCGATCTCCTTTGAACGTCGTCGTTGGTACTTGAAGAATGCTCTACCAGCATCCTCCTCCTTATGGTTGAGTTAGCCGGGTATAGGAAGTATTCTCCGCTCCCTTCTCCCGCCATAATGGCGGCGTCTAAAAAGTGCCGGCGAGTTTGCCAATTAAGGAGCATTATCCGCGCCGTTTGTCACCAGCAGAGATGCACTATAACCGGTCGTTTCTTAAAGCCATATTCAGTTATTAATTATTATGCGAACCGTGTTCGTCGCTTTGCCGCAGTTTAAATCATTGATATCAGGGATCTTTGGTAAGAACAATCCGCACGAAAAATCGTTTCGTACTTTGCGGTGTATCGCACTTTTCTTTTCTCAGTCTCGTTTTGAACAGGAAAGAATTTCACTTGACATGGTCCCAATATCGAAACCGGATGAACTTTCACCGAACAACCTCGCAAAATTACGATGGCGCAATTCGCGTTGGAATTTCATGGAAGCTCTAATTATCCGACCGGACAAAATCGAACGACATACAACGACGGCACGTCGCTATATATAGTAGTATAATGGATCGCAATGTCAATAAGATTCGTTTTGTATTAAGCATTGCGTTATTCGATACTGGAATGATTGTATAAAATTCCTATCGACACATCAAACGATATGTGAAAATTATTTTTTTAATTTTATACAATATTTTGAGTTTAAAGTAAAAAAAAACTTGATTACATTCCAATTATTTTGAACTAATTATTCGATTTTCTATTTTGGACTTTACTTGACGCTAAATGACGATATCTTTTTTTTTTACTTTTTGCAGGCTCTCCTTGCGAGCACGACGGTATCTGCGTAAATACGCCTGGGTCTTTTGCGTGCAACTGCACGCAAGGATTCACGGGTCCGCGATGCGAGACGAACGTGAACGAGTGCGAGTCGCATCCGTGTCAGAACGACGGCTCCTGCCTGGACGATCCTGGGACCTTTCGATGTGTCTGCATGCCTGGTAAGTACTCTGCATCACTCTATACTTCATCTCACGGTACTCCCGAACGATTATGTGTCCCTTTTGACGTTGCGTCCTGTTCTTTTCTCTTTCGAGAGTAGCGACGCATCTCTTGCGAACTGCGAATGGGACAATTCCGGATAATTCTCTCGCTTCCTCGCGTGACCGCGAATGCGTCACGATCGAAACGCACTTGGGCCGCTTTCACGTTGGCAATTTTGTTCCGAATTGTTATTCCGTTTACGTCCGTGCAAGTAGCTTCTACATATCGGTTTCACACATTTCGACCGTTCCGCATGCTTTTCAATCGTTTCACAAAAAGTCTGCCGTGAAAGTTGCAATTACCTTCGGAAGTGCCGGCTTCTATCGAACGTAGAACGTCACTTGTTTTCGCGCTCCTTTCGATGATGTATGTTTTTGCGTTTTTGCGTGAGTCATTTTACGTAAAAGGTGTCTTCCGTTGGAAAGTTTACGCATGCCTTTTATGCAGTGACTGATGTCATTGTAAAAAAGGACAGTCACAAAAATCAATTTTAAATCATATCTAAAATTTAATACAATACAACTCTAGGCAGCAAGATGATTTTGTATAGTAAAAAGAAAGTATAGTTTTTCAACTGTTTTGACTGCACAATTACGACCTTTTTTCTTAGATGTTAAATTTTTTTAAATAAAAAAATGTCATATTTTTGGAGAAAAAGACATGTTTTAATGGAAAAGAAAGAAAAATTTTACCAAGATAAATAAATTAATAAAAAATAAGAAAAATGTTACCAAGATACGTCAACTTTGATTTTCACGGGAAATCGCGAGATACGAGATGCGAGACGCGTGAAAAGACGCGATCCGCCGCGCACGATAGGCGGCCGGTTGCCATCGCGCCATGCGTGGACCCCGAGCTCCGGGCTTCAAGCCCGCGCGACGTCGTCGGTAAATTCCTCCGAGATGACAGTATGCCGCAGTGTGCATTATCTGATACTCGACAAGAGCCGTGGCAGGAGGGCAGCAACCGGTAACTCGTTTGCTCTTTTAACGCTACGCGTCGGCGCGCATAAGTCAGCCTTAATTGTTTGATGTCGGTGGAACGACGTAGTCTATCCCTTCGGTTGGATCCTTTAAGGATTCAAGCGTAAAATTGCGAGAGATCCGCGCGCTCGATAAATGATATAATCGACAACGAATACGCGCGCGTCATTGTCGATATCACAAAATCGCGCAAACACTAAAGGATATCTCTCTGGAAGCTTTAAGCACATTTATTTACGATCAGCTTACAAGCGAATTTTCTTCCATAGAATGGCGATTTAGTAATAATACATGTTTATAGCAAATCTCTGTAGTTATTTTAAGTAAAACATTTGAGATAAAGCGTAAAAATAAAAGAGACAAAGAGTTAAAATGTATCTTTGGTGAAACTTCAAATTTATTTGTTTTTAGCAAAGATGTCCATTATGTCAGGTTTCTAAGAAAATAGGGGTTTAAATCCCCCAAAAAATGCGTTTTTGGTTATATTCGCAAATTTGTAACGCATAAACCAGACAGGCCACCAGCAACTTGGAAAAGATCTGAAATTGGAGCTTAAACCTTTGTCTTTATTTTTTTTTTTAAAGTCGCAAACTTAAAGTACAATTTTAAGGACTTCGTGGAAGTCCCTCACAGAGAAATGAAGCACTGTCAAATTTATATAACAAAATAGCAAAATTATATCTCACACCCAATAAATTTGTAAATTCCTGTTAAGGACAGGCCTGTTAAGGACAGGCTCAAGAAATAATAAAGATTGCCTCATACAGTATACGATATGATCAACTTTCTAGAAGCATAATTTTAAATAAATTTAGTATAAAAAAAGAAAAATATGTAAAAACGGCAAATCATTGAAAAATTCTTTTTTAAAATTGCGAAAATTTTCATATTGTTAGCGTTTTAAAATTTATTTGAAAACGAGGTAAAGGTCAAATTTTCGCGGCGGCAAATTAAATTCTGTTTCCGGTATAACCGAGCAACAATATTTGATGCAATAGCGGTCACCGTACTAGCGCGAATGTATGACGCGAATCCCCGCGGTGCAACAAATTGAACATTAAGCGCGATAAACGTAAAGTCGAGACGTGAAAATAGTGATCATCGATTACGAATCGCCCAAGTGCGATTTTGCTTTTCTCTCCATTCTTCATTCCCATTGGACACTCGATTTATGAGATCGATTTATACAATTTGCGCAATTTTGAGCGAAAGCGAGCTCTTCGTCGGAGCTCATTGTCGCTCTGTCGTTACTGTACACACGCTATACTGGCGATAAGATCGATGCAGAGAAACGCTGAAAGATCTATCGTCTAATTAAGGCACCAGCCGTGTACCAGTTATGTATTATTGACACATTAGAGAACGGTTAGTCGAATCGAATTTCTTAACATTGAATAGCGAGTATGCTCCGAAAAGAGTAGGGCGGACGGAATCACGAGTCCGAAAAGCGAGAAAAACAAAAAATGAGAGACTCTTGGATCCTTGGACTCGAAAATCTTCCGGTGCCCGGTGAGACACGGGAGGGAGGATAAACGAGAGGAAGGGTGAGTGGTAAAATATGATAGCGAGATTCGCGAAATATGAGACCGAGACGACGGGATCCGTTGCCACGGGCCCCCGTGGGCCTTCGTGCGGGAACAAAGGCTTATCTTGTCCCTCGGCTTACTTGGCCATTTTGGTACTCCGTCTTCCCTCCTCCGCTTTCTCGTCCTGTTCCTCATTCTGCGTCAATTCGAGCTCCTTCTCGTCTTTTTCGTCTCTTCTTGTTTTGACCCTTCGTCGAGCCGTACGTCGTGCCTTCCTTTCTTGTCGGGACTCCACTGTCCCGTAAAAGGATCCGCTAAATAGCGCTAAGAGGTTCGAGGAAAGAGGATACTTGGGCATTCAGGATTTTGCACGACGGACCCGCAGCATCGGTGGTTTGCGCATATTATTCCCGGCCTTTGTAATTGTCGTTCGCTTAGCTCCTCCGCGTGTCTGTTGCGAGTTGCGCGTCGCGTAACGAGAGAAGCTTTTCTCTGCCGTCGAAAGAAGCGTTGCTCGATCAGAAATTAAATCTGGATTACGATTGCTACGAGATGTCGTTGTATCAAGCACATCCGTGATATTAATTCTTTTAATTCATCAAATTTGCATTCTTAAGTAACAAATGATAAGAATCAATTTTTACAAGTGGAACTTTAATTAAATTGCTGTTTCAATTAAAATATTTACTAGTTAGCAAAAATATAATATTTTTAACATTTTAATAATATTCTTAATATTTATAATATTTTGTGTATATATGCTCATATTTAATTTATATAGTGCTTTACATAACATATTTGATTATAGATATTATATACAATTTTATTGCATTACGGGTTGGAATTTAACGACAAGCACGCGTGTTATCATATTGCAGATATCGCAGGGTGCGCCCGTTGTATTGTGCTCAAATGCACACTATACACACGAGGTTTTACCGATTATCCACGTATAATGAAGAGGAGGAGTGGCGCAAGATCTCTCAGT